AGTCTATAAGCGGGGGGGGGGTGGGGGGGGGGGCAGGGATTGCTGCTCGGGGTGGGCTGGGCATCGGTCGGTGGGTGGTGAGTAATTGTATAGTGTATCACTTGCTTTGTATATTATTATTGTATTATTATTATTGTATTATTACTACTATTCTATTTCATTTTACTTTAATTATTAAACTGTTCTTATCTCAGCCCACGAGTTTTCTGACTTTCACCCCTTCAGTTCTCTCCCCCATCCCACTGGGGTGGGGGGAGTGAGCGAGCAGCTGTGTGGTGCTTAGTTAAACCATGACATAAGTCGTGCATGTTTCTGGGGAGGGAGGAGGGTGCATAGCCTAATAGGGAATTTTTAAGAATTATTTAAACCTGTAGCAATAGATACAGGTTTTCATTACAATTGAAATTTTAATCCCAAATGGAGGAGTTGTATAAAGTTGCAAATATATACTCTGTTTTCAGGTTATTGCTTGTGAAATTGACCCTAGACTTGTTGGTGAACTTCAGAAGAGAGTCCAGGGCACGTAAGTGTCAACTGTGGAAATAGTGAGCACTTACAGCAGTGGACCTGCTGTGGCAAAGACTTTGGCAATGTGCTTCTCTGAGGATAACCACAGTGTATTTTCCCCCAGGTGTCTGGCAAACAAACTTGAAATCAAGGTTGGAGATATCTTGAAAACAGATTTACCATTCTTTGATGCATGTGTGGCTAACTTGCCGTACCAGGTATGGGCTAAGCAACAGGGCAAACCTTTTTTTCTTTTTAAATGCTGATTGCCTGGAAATTATACTAATGCTATTACTCTCTTCCTCAGATTTCTTCACCTTTCGTTTTCAAGTTGTTGCTTCATAGACCTTTTTTCAGGTATGTGGAAGAACATAGCCCTGTATTACCTGATAGAAAAAAAAATAGTTTTAAAATATTCCCAAATCAATTTTTTTAGTTATTAAATGCCAGTTTAATGGATCAGAGCCACACCAGAATTTTTCTGTAATATGAAAACTGCCAGTGCCTGGATACTAGTTTGTGTCAGTGTATTAAGCATGAGAAGAAAATTTAGTCTCGGCATCAGTGAGTAGGAGTTGCACCTCTTTACACTAGTATTATAACTAATTGTTATTCCAGGGATAAGTAGGGCATCGTAGCATTTCAAATGCCTTCCTACCTTAGAAAGGAAGGGTGGCAGGGGTAGGATCAAAGCCAAGACACTTCCTGTTTTCTGAACAGAAATATAACTGCCCAGATACTTCTGTGTTTTTCAGTATGTCAGCAGTTCTTGATTTCTCTCACTGAAGCACTAGTGTTAGTCACATTAGTAGTCAATTTTTGGAGCTAGAGAGTTTGGATTTGAAGGACTCAACATAGAATTATTCAAAATGATTTGTTACAGTTGGGCACAAAACTCTGAGACTACCCTCTGTCTCTTTGATCCTGATCCATTTAGCAGTATAAAGAATCAAATTCTATTGTAGCTTTAAGGAGATACAGATGGTTTCACCAAGTTTTGTTGTTTTGTTTTTTTTTTTTAACACACTCTGAGCTAATTAAGGCAGAGTTTGTTCATGACAAAACTTCTATTGTGTCTAAGTGCTGAGGCAAATCCTGTGTATTCCAAATGTGTTAGTTGGCTTTTGATGTAAAAGTTGATTATTAGAATTTATTTTTTCTCATTCCTGTTATTCTCAGGTGCGCAATACTTATGTTTCAAAGGGAATTTGCACTTCGTTTGGTTGCAAAACCAGGAACTAAACTATACTGCAGACTCTCTATTAATACTCAGTTATTAGCTCGAGTGGACCATCTGATGAAGGTATGTCATTCTGCCTTAGCTAATAAAGCTATCAAAGACAGAAGAATGTTTCTAGGAATGTGAGGATTTGCTGATTATTCATACTGCTGCCTGACTTCTCCTGACCAACAGGTTGGAAAGAACAACTTCAGGCCGCCTCCCAAAGTTGAATCCAGTGTTGTCAGAATAGAGCCAAAAAACCCGCCACCGCCTATCAACTTCCGGGTAAGCATCATATACTCTAATAACAATGTAACATACTAGTGATAATACTTAATTTTTCTTTTCACTTGTGACTCAGTTCTGTGTGCTGTTTTCACTACTAAGTACCAGCTATTCATTGGCATTTACAGAATTCCGAAATACTTACTCCTCATTGAGCAGGCTTGCATTAGGACGCTACCTGAACGTGACACCATCAGTTGGGGTGCAGCTTTGTTTACAGTATTTCTGACAAGACTGAGGTACCATCTCCACATCCGTTGGAGAGTTGCTAGTAATAATGTCCCTTTCATCGTGGTTTATATCTCCCAGAGACCCTTCTGGCTGATGAGTTTGTTGGTTATGATCAAAAGAGTATCTGTGAGAAGCCTTATCTTCAGATGAGTGTGTATAATCTCAGAGGATAGATGTTACAGGGTAGTATTCTTAAAGTGAATTTTTAAAATGCTTTGATCTTTGAGACCATTTCAGCCTTGCCCAAGGTTAGCTGAATTTTCTTCAAGTATCCGCCTTCTCGGCACATAAGATCTCGCCAATAGTGCCTAGGCACGAGAAAGAACAATTCAAAGGTTTTTGTGGGTGAAGTATTTTCTCTTCCATCTGTATTGCTTTGTCCAAGACAGGACTGGTTTTGTATTGCTTAGAAAGATATTTTCCTGAAAGATTTTTCTTTGTGTTCAGTATTGTTGTGAAATTGTCAGTAGTGACTATTCTTGTTTGTAGTAGCTGTTCCTTTCTGTAAATTCTGAAATTTTTAATTTCAGGAGTGGGATGGTCTGGTAAGGATAGCCTTTGTTAGGAAAAACAAGACACTCTCTGCAGCATTTAAGTAAGTAACTTTTACTAAAGGAAATCTTTTCAGAGTCTGAGAGTCCATCCAGTTAACCGTTGCTTTTGTGCAAGTGCATAGCAGTGTTATATGCATGCTAGCACAGTCTGGGATAAACCATGATGGAGGATTTATGCTGAGATCACAAGTTTTTTCTTAGAAGAAAACTAGGCAGCTGTTTAAAAAGAACAGCTCTGTGTAGTCATTAGTTTTTTACAGTATAAATTAACAACTAATCAAATAAAAAAAAAAAAACAGTTAAAGCTCAATTTTCATTCTAAACTTGTATTTCTTCCAGGTCAAGTGCTGTAGAGCAGTTGCTGGATCACAATTACCGAATTCATTGTTCCTTACATAATACAGTAAGTTCCTTTTTAATATATTAAATTCTATTTCTGTGTACTGCGACCTACATACTGACTTCTGTAAGAGTAAAACTTAACATTGAAAAGCTTAACACGTTAAAGTTTTTTCTGAGAGAGTTTGAGGGAGGGAGGAACTTAGCTCTTTTCTTAGAGAAAAATCTAAAAGGGTCACTAAATTACAGTGAAAAAGCTGAAAGCCGAGTATGTTATTAATATATTGGCTGTACGTGTCTCAAAGACTTTTATTAATCTAATAAGAATCAAATAAGAACATTTTTTGTGTCTGCTTAGCAATACTGTTGTGATTCATTTGTAGTGAATGAGCTGAGGTATAAAAATTCAGATACAAGAATGGAAGAACACAATAATGCATACAAGAAAAAATACAACTTATTTCTATCAGTTGAAACAAGGACTATTCTAAAAGCAGGAAAATAATAGGTTATTTAAATGAACCTTTTTCTACGCTATGAATAGAAAATGAATTTATATCCTATTTTCCATTCACAGGAAATACCCGAAAACTTCAAAATTGCAGAGAAAATACAGACAGTCCTAAAAAATACAGGTTACTCTGAAAAACGAGCCCGTTCAATGGATATAGATGATTTCATTAGGTATTTTTTTTCTATTTATGCCTGCCTTTTATGCTTCTTTAAATTCTATCTGCATCTGTACCTGTGTAGTACAGATTAGTATTGGGTTACACCGGAATAGTACTAATTCTGTTTTCCTCTCAATACCAGACACTCTTTGCTTCCAGTCCTGAACATGAACAACACTTAAACCTTATATGTATTGTAACAGCTGCTTACAGTATCGAGAAGCAACTAGCTAAAGATCCCTATTTCTGGTATTTGTGTACTAGACCCTTCTAGGTCTCCTCTAAAAATGGCTTTAATAACGGAATTGATTATTGTAATTTCCCTGGAGGCTTACATAGCCCTTCTCTGTCTGTCTGTCTTGATGACTAAGCCTTAGTCTATAGCGTAATTTGGAAATTTGAGTAATTAACTCCCATATTCTGCTATTACTTCCGGTCAGTTAATTTAAGTGGCAACATGAATCCTCTCCAATTTAAGATAAAAAATCCTAGCTGTTTCTCAGTGTGCCAATTAATACAGCCACTGCTCTTTAAAGAAACGTAGTAAATGTGGTAGGATGCAACATAACTAACTGCACTGAAAATATACCTGCATCTTTAAAATGGCAAATTTGCTAATAACTTCTAGTTTAAGATTTGTAACAATTCTTAGTGGCAGGTGAACAGTGATGACTGCTTTCATGCTATTTCCATATGATCTTTGCCAGCCAGCACGTCTTAGAAATGCCTTAAGCTGAAGTATAACTTAGTTAAAATGGTAACATAAATATTTCACTTTCAGACTGCTGCACGGCTTCAATTCAGAAGGCATCCATTTCTCATAGACTCTGCTAGAAGAATGAAAGATGTTCTGTGTTTTGTCACCGAAGTCTTGCCTAAGCCAGAGTGACTGCAACGGGACAAGCTCTTCTCACAAAAGCAATGAACAGAATACAGCCTACAGACTCCAGTTCTTATTAAAACCTTACATGCAATTTTATCACAGATAGTAGGCAAGAAGCTGCTGCTCTGTATTTTAAAAGCGATAAATTCTTTCCTGACTGAAGGGAGGTGCTGGACTTCCACATGACAGTGTATTTTTAAATATACCCAATAACATGGATTGATGCTGCCATAATTGGAATCTGTGTTCTCTGATCATGGACTTCACCCCAGTACATTCTTGCACAATACTCAACAGCATAACCCATAAGTCTGGTCTGGGCAACCAAAAGAGTTGTAGTCATTCCATCTGCTTGGGATTTTTTGTTTGTTTGCTTGTTTTAAAATTTATTTCAACACTGTCGCTTCCATTTGTCCTCTGGTACCTACCTGCATTCCAAGTCTGTTAGTAATCTGCTTCTCTTGGAGAAATACCAGTAACTGTTTCTCAGAAACAAGAGCATTTATCTTCTGGGCTTGGTATCATTTACAAAAACATTATTGAGGTACCTGAAACTACCAGTGTCATCTCCTTTACCCCCTTCTTATTGCCATCAAACCACTGTAGGAACCAGCAGAAAATTACCAACGGGACACTGCTCGTAAGCATGAACAGAACGCGTTTTTTTTGTCAACTGTAAAGCCAAGCAGCTATTTTTATAATAAAACTACTTCGTCCATCAAGGCAAGGAGGAGTTTTAGCGTAGATCAAAGATTTCAGTGACTCTTAGAGCAACGCATGCCTGTGTCCTGACAGAAAGACTTCACTGAAGTGTCTTAATATAGTTTGGATTATATATATTTGTTATTAAGGACAAGGCAGTTTTCCCAAGGAAGTCTGCGTTAACTCTGCATAGCAGCTGTCAAAAGAAAAATCCACTTTGGTCTGTCTTATGCTTCAGGAAAACAGTAACTATGAACTCTGCAGCATCATGCAGGGGTGAAGGCATGACTTCATCTATTAACTATCGTAAATAATTTTTTCATGCATAGTGTATCACACTTAGGGACATGGTTTAGTGGTGGACTTGGCAGTGCTAGGTTAATGGTTGGACTTGATGATTTTAAAGGTCTTTTCCAGCCAAAATGATTCTGTGATTTTTTTCCATAAGACAACAGTAGGTGAAGAGGCAAATTAGCAAAAACTCCTCTAAGACGTAACTTTCATTTTATACACATCCAATCTCAGTGCTTCAAAAGTCACTGATACAGAAACGTACAGAAATACGTACTTGAATTTGCAAGCATCCTGAGAGATTATCTTGGAAAACAGAATTTATTTTATAATTTAATGATTATAGTGCTGCTTCACTGGATTCAGGACCAGTTTGTGAGTGAGGCAAGTAGCCACAGCAATATGCACAGACCAATACAGAAGGAACCAGTGCTGGAAATTTGTGTCACACTTCCTAAATGCATTTGTTGTACAGGACAGGAATCAAGACAAGCTTGTCTGAGTCCTATTCAAGTAATTCCAGTCCATCACAGCAGTGGGCTACAAGAATTCAAGTGCCGTAACCAGCCATATCAGTTTGTCTTGATTCTCACTGCTTCAGTATCGGTGTAGATCTGACCTTTACAGCAGGCTCTCTCACACAGGCTGCCTCTTCACATTACCCCCGCAGCAGACACAATTTCAGCTTGCATCTGCTACCTGACAGGACACGTCATTTACAAGGCTTCGTAAAAAGCTGCTGAAATCTAACTGCCTCTGTTCTTCCTGTCCTCTTTGTTACCCACTGTAAACCACAGCCCGGTTGTGGCTCTAGGCCTGCATGGAGGAACAGCAGGGAAGACACTGTTTCTCATGTAGGATGTCTCACTCTTCAGAGGCTTCTTAGAAAGTAATATTTCTCTGGAGCAGCTTCGAAGAAACTCTGGTATTATACAATAACCTGTACTATCACCTGCTAACAAAAGCTGCTGCCTTCTAGTTCATTGTTTTTTTCTTTTAACTGTGGTGGACGACGTTCTTAAATGCTCAGAAAGATGTGTCGTGTCTTTTAAGACCTGCTGCAAAACTAAAGTCAGGACAGTGCTCTGGGGAACTTCTTCCTCTGTTTGTACCGAACAGTTAGCTCCAGAAGTAAATGTTCATTCTGAAATCAGAGGCCTTTTCAAAAGTGTAACTCCGATGTGCTTACAAAGTGAAACCCTTCCCAAAGCACAACAGAACTTTCATAGAAGTAAATTCTCACCTGTAGTTCATTTAATAGCTTAATTTATTAAACACATTATGTAAAATCTACATTGTTGTTTCAGTTTTCATGTTTACACACAGGAGGCTTTTTTTTATTTTTAACCATGATGCGACAAGAGCTTCCCATAGCCTGCCTTCCTGTGGCAGATACAAACATTACACACTACAAGAATTCCTGGCTCATTTAACTCTCTTTTCATTGCCTTCCCTTTATTTCCCTTCAGGCCTGGCACAAACAAACAGGCTTGTATTCCAAAAGTAATTTTTAAACAGTTCCAAGGGAAAGTCTGCTGATACGAACTCCTGGAAACAGGGAGAACTCCTAGAGAGGTCTACAATTCTTCATTTGACAAGAAGTTCTTACATGAAAGGTCAATCTTTTTTGGATACTGACTTGCAAAAATAACTTGAGTGCCACCACCTAAAAAGTGTTGATACACATGGTGCCATTTGTGAGAATTCAGGTACTTGTGGGATTTCTGTTAGCGCTAGGTAGAGGTATTGTGCAAAATCCTCAAATGATGCAATTTCACCCCACTTTTCAGCTGCTGGCACTGTACAAAGGGAAAAATAGGTATTAGCTACTTTTTTTTTAAAGCAACAGAGCCACTCAAACTACCTGCAAACTACGGTTAATGTACATGTAAGTTTGTCATGCATCAAAAGCCAGATTTTAACAGTATGTGAAAGACCAATATGTATGTATTTAGCTGGATCCCTGAACTTTGACAGTTATCCTACCCATACGCAGAGGTCAGATCGTACCTGTACTCTGACAGCATTATCACACCATACCACATACTGTATATCTGCATTATCCTAAGATACAACTCTCTTCAGTACTTAAACATTACCCTTTATTATACATCAACTAATTTATATTTTTGTGTTGTGTTTTTTTTTTTTGTTCTGGGTTTTTGTTGTTTTTTGTTGCTTTTTCTTTATTACAGAGAAAATGTTAGAATTATATAACCATTCTTTACGGTATTCAAATAAATCTAGATTCCAGATTTTTACAAGGAGGATGGAATGTCCAGCTGCTTGTCCACTCTAACAGCTCTTGCAGTTCCTGTTCAAATGATATGGCACATCCTGTGAAATGAAACTAGCCACCAAAAAAAGGTCTCAAAACACATTAAAAATGTACACACACTAAAAGTAATTTATATTGACAAATAAGGAATGTTGTTTATTAAGGCTGTGCTTCAGAAAGAGGATATTTAGGGTTAAGTAGCCTTCATCAAGGCACAGAATGGGAAGAGGTAAGCACAGCCGTCTGTAGAAGAGAAGTTATGTACAACCACTAGTGAGGTGTGCATGCACGCAAACACAATTTAAAACGGCACAGCTGGTCTTTGTAACAAAACTGAACATAGTCGAAATTCTGTGACTTTGCAATGGCCACAGCTTGTACTTCATTATTAAATACATGGCGAATATTTCCAAACATAAAATTCACAATTTGAATAAATGAAATATTTTAAACAAAGTGCTTCACAGATCTGAACCCTGCATGGTTGTGCTGTCTGGTCTAGAAGCATTTTGTAGACATCATAGGAGCATTTCACACAAAACTGAAAATGTCATTTAGGTGAATAAGAAACAGGACATTTCCACAGACATTTCTAACGTTTTTACACTTTCAAGTAGTTGAGTTCTTACGGCCACTGGGTTTTGTAACAAATGGTGCTACAGCAGTACAAGTTCGTGGATTCCTTTAGCAGCAAAGGCCCATTTCAAAGCGCACGTGGTCTTTTCGGGCTGATCTGTTTACTGGCCTGTTCTTCCTCTTGTAGAGCTGCCCGGAAAGATTTCACTTTATCTTTAATGAAAAAGAGAGAATGAGTACTGGTGTGCCTGTGCTCAACACAGATCCTGAAACTAAGCCCTGATGCTCCACACCCCAGCCCTAATGCACAACAAAGAACACTCCTCCACAAAAATAGCTGACGCTACAAACTACAAGAGGATTGAGATAAGCTTAAATTCAATACTCACCATACAAACAAGTTGCTTAGCAACTTACTCCTTTCTTAGATGCTACCCCTGTCTCTAGGCAGGATAGGTTTGGAAACCACAATTGCATTCCCAGCATGTAACCTGTTCTCACTGAAATTCTGCTTCCAGCTTACAGAGTATAGAGAGAGATAAACCACATTCATCCTTTTCCTTCCCAGCAGCTTCCAAACCATCCTTAGAGGCATACAAAATTGCATTTAGTGTACAATCACTCATTTCTGTACATTCTAAAGCCCAGCAGAGTAAATTCTACTCCCCCATTTTTCTATGAATGTGAAAAGCATTTGTGATTATATTTTGGAAGTTATTCATCATAAATAGATAAATGCATCATTCATTTGTTTCATCATGACTGTAACAAGAATGGGAGAAACCTGAGAAAGGAAGTGTGGCATCCTGTCATATTTCTGTTCCTGTCCCCCTCCATTGCCCAGTAATATGCCCAAGAATAGGAAGAAGGAAACCAAAATGACAGCATAAAGATGTCAGTCCCAGAGTGACAGCAATAAAAGCTGAAATATTCAGTGACCATTATGTGCCATGAGCAGAACACAGAAGATACTGGGAGAAAGAATTTTTGACTTAACAGTTCTTCCCTTCTGTAAAGCTATACATGTATCATGCTGCCCGTAAAGATGCAAGGATCTCTTAGATAGCCTTTACCTCCAGTACCTTGTTTCAAAA